TAGAGCGCCCGTCAGTCACTCTTAGTCCCGCCTTCATCCGGGTATTTTTCCCGCCGCCCCCCCACAGCGCTGATTGGCTAGAGCGCCCGTCAGTCACTCTTAGACCCGCCTAGCTTCCGCTTTATTTTCCCACCGCCCCCCCACAGCGCTCATTGGCTAGAGCGCCCGTCAGTCACTCTTAGTCCCGCCTTCATCCGGGTATTTTTGAAACCGCCCCCCCACACCGCTCATTGGCTAGAGCGCCCGTCAGTCACTCTTAGTCCCGCCTTCATCCGGGTATTTTTCACGCCGCCCCCCCACTGCGCTGATTGGCTAAGGCGCCCGTCAGTCACTCTTAGTCCCGCCTTCATCCGGGTTCTTTTCCCGCCGCCCCCCCACAACGCCCATTGGCTAGAGCGCCCGTCAGTCACTCTTAGACCCGCCTAGCTTCCGCTTTATTTTCCCACCGCCCCCCCACAGCGCTGATTGGCTAGAGCGCCCGTCAGTCACTCTTAGTCCCGCCTTCATCCGGGTATTTTTCACGCCGCCCCCCCACTGCGCTGATTGGCTAGAGCGCCCGTCAGTCACTCTTAGTCCCGCCTTCATCCGGGTATTTTTCCCGCCGCCCCCCCACAGCGCTGATTGGCTAGAGCGCCCGTCAGTCACTCTTAGACCCGCATAGCTTCCGCTTTATTTTCCCACCGCCCCCCCACAGCGCTGATTGGCTAGAGCGCCCGTCAGTCACTCTTAGTCCCGCCTTCATCCGGGTATTTTTCACGCCGCCCCCCCACAGCGCTGATTGGCTAAAGCGCCCGTCAGTCACTCTTAGTCCCGCCTTCATCCGGGTATTTTTCCCGCCGCCCCCCCACAGCGCTGATTGGCTAGAGCGCCCGTCAGTCACTCTTAGTCCCGCCTTCATCCGGGTATTTTTCATGCCGCCCCCCCACAGCGCTGATTGGCTAAGGCGCCCGTCAGTCATTCTTAGTCCCGCCTTCATCCGGGTATTTTTGAAACCGCCCCCCCACACCGCTCATTGGCTAGAGCGCCCGTCAGTCACTCTTAGTCCCGCCTTCATCCGGGTTCTTTTCCCGCCGCCCCCCCACAGCGCCCATTGGCTAGAGCTCCCGTCAGTCACTCTTAGACCCGCCTAGCTTCCGCTTTATTTTCCCACCGCCCCCCCACAGCGCTGATTGGCTAGAGCGCCCGTCAGTCACTCTTAGTCCCGCCTTCATCCGGGTATTTTTCCCGCCGCCCCCCCACAGCGCTCATTGGCTAGTGCGCCCGTCAGTCACTCTTAGTCCCGCCTAGCTTCCGCTTTATTTTCCCACCGCCCCCCCACAGCGCTCATTGGCTAGAGCGCCCGTCAGTCACTCTTAGTCCCGCCTTCATCCGGGTTCTTTTCCCGCCGCCCCCCCACAGCGCTTATTGGCTAGAGCTCCCGTCAGTCACTCTTAGTCCCGTCTTCATCCGGGTTCTTTTCAAACCGCCCCCCCACAGCGCTGATTGGCTAGTGCGCCCGTCAGTCACTCTTAGTCCCGCCTTCATCCGGGTTCTTTTCAAACCGCCCCCCCACAGCGCTGATTGGCTAGAGCGCCCGTCAGTCACTCTTAGACCCGCCTTCATCCGGTTTCTTTTCCCACCGCCCCCCCACAGCGCTGATTGGCTACAGCGCCCGTCAGTCACTCTTAGTCCCGCCTTCATCCGCGTTCTTTTCACACCGCCGCCCCACAGCGCTCATTGGCTAGATCGCCCGTCAGTCACTCTTAGTCCCGCCTAGCTTCGGCTTTATTTTCTCACCGCCCCCCCACAGCTCTCATTGGCTAGAGCGCCCGTCAGTCACTTTTATTCCCGCCTTTATCCGGGTATTTTTCACGCCCCCCCCCCCACAGCGCTCATTGGCTAGTGCTCCCGTCAGTCACTCTTAGTCCCGCCTAGCTTCCGCTTTATTTTCCCGCCCCCCCCCCCCCCCTTTCCCGTCTCCCTTAATTAAGCTTGAGCTCTGAATTCTCATCTAGCGCTTCGTATAGCATTTCCTGAGTGTGAAGTGTCTTCGGGATGCTTCAGTTGGGTGTCTGCCAGTTAGGCTTGAGCAAAGCTTAGTCTGGAGTGAGGTGGAGGCAGCGTCTGGTACATTTTGTTTTTAATCTTGGTCTGCTTGTGGAATTAATTTACCCTGATGTGTTTATTGCCTAACACTCTTCATTAGATCTCAGTGCAAATGGAATCATTTGTAATTTCAGGGAAAGAGCCCGTAAGGGGGTTGAGATTTTTCCAAAGTTAAGGTTAAAGCTTGTGATATTCTTCCTCATGTGTCTCTGTGTGGTCTTCCGTTGGTTCTGAGGAAGACCGAGGGTAAGTAGATGCTCAGTGTGTTATTGTGGACTGCTGCTAAGAAAACCCTGGTTGTGAAACAGTAAACTTCTCATGTGCTGGACTCAAAACTTCCTTTATGCTCTTTCCTTTGTGTAATGTTTCTTTACTGATTGCAAATGCAACTTTGATAGTGTTGGGTTTGTTTGGGGTGTCTTTTAAGGACATTATTTTTATTGTAAATTGCTCAGATATTGTTGCTTTAGCTCTTCAATGTCTTTGTTCTTTTTTAGCAAGATGAATATCATATGGTTCATCTGGTATGTACTTCCCGGACACCCCCAAGTTCTCCAAAACCCACCACCAGTAGAGAAGGTCATGGGACTTCAGCCTCCAGCAGTAGCTCAGTGAGTTGGGTTATTTTTTCCTACACAGGACATGTATTTCTTCTACACTGTAAAAGGATATGGTGAAAGTAGACCATGCTCTGTGAAGTTGTACAGTTGGATTATTTAAGGGTGTCACTTTAGTTAAACAAAGGTCACCTTTTTTCAAACTCTAACACAATTATGTTCATTAGATGACAAAGCGCTACTTTTGTAAGCTGTTCTTTGTTTCTAACGCTTCTTTATTGCAAACTACATTTTTCTTTCTCTCCATATCCTCATATCTTTGGCAGAAATTGAGCAGTGTGTTGAGATACAAGAAAAATAAAAGATCCGATTTATTTTGTGAAAATTTGTAGTGCTGAAGAGACATCAGTCAAATTAGTGCCCTTGTTGTGAAATAGGCAGGTGGAGCTTGGCCAGAATTCATTCTGCTTGACAGGGATTGGCTTCAAGGCAGTAATAAGTATCTGTAAGACAGTGAGAAGTGGGAAGTGTTCTTAACATTTTATTAGTTAAGCTATTCACAAAACACTCTGGTTTAGGATGTTTTGAGTCTTCCCCTCTTCACGCTCTCCTCAAATGATGCTTATCTTTGGATGTACTCTGTTTTAACAGAAATGAAGTTAGTATTTCTGTTGATGACTTGTTCATCATTACTGTAATTCTCTTGGCTTTTCCCCGTGATGTGAGGAATAGCAATGGACTAAGGAAAGGGTTAAGTACCATTGTAGGTGCTTTCATCTGCACTGTGTCAGTTACCCAGTTACCAGTGTATGGGAGATACCCTTCTAGTAATAAGCCGTTTGTCTTTGTTCTGTTTATAGGGTACTGTATGGACTGCAGTGAGACAGTCATAAACATGAACAGTTGAAGGAACAGTAGAGAGTGGACAGTGGTTACATTGTCTTTTCAAAGGCTGTATTTATATCTTCAGACAGGACACGGGAGGCCTGCTTTGTCATCATTTTATTGCTGTGTAGTTCAGTTGTAAATGCTGTATTTAAATGACTGTATTAATGACTGCTTAAAGCAGTCTGTATGCACAGTGTTAAGTTCATAGAATCATCATAGAATCATAGAATCGTTAGGGTTGGAAAGGACCTTAAGATCATCCAGTTCCAACCCCCCTGCCATGGGCAGGGACACCTTACGCTAAATCATATCACCCAAGCCCTCATCCAACCTGGTCTTGAACGCTGCCGGGGATGGAGCCTTCACAGCCTCCCTGGGCAACCTCTTCCAGTGCCTCACCACCCTAACAGGAAAGAATTTCCTTCTTATATCCAACCTAAGCTTCCCCTGTTTAAGTTTGAACCCATTACCCCTTGTCCTGTCACTACAGTCCCTAATGAAGAGTCCCTCCCCAGCATCCCTATAGGCCCCCTTCAGACACTGGAAGGCTGCTCTGAGGTCTCCATGCAGCCTTCTCTTCTCCAGGCTGAACAGCCCCAACTTCCTCAGCCTGTCTTCATATGGGAGGTGCTCCAGTCCCCTGCTCATCCTCGTGGCCCTTCTCTGGACTTGTTCCAACAGTTCCATGTCCTTTTTATGCTGAGGACACCAGAACTGCACACAATACTCCAGGTGAAGAAACAACCTAAACCCAAAGCTTGAATGGCCTTTGTTCTTCCATTTGTTTCTTATTTCCCCTGCTGTCTAGTGGTAAATTTTTTATGTTTTCCTTTGCAGGGTAGATGTGATCTAGATGCGTTAAGTAATTGCACCTCCTCACTTCCAGAGTTGTCAAAGTTGAAGATGATTTTCTACTGAGTAAACATTACAGTAATGCTTAGCAACAGGATTTGGGGATTTATTAAAACTAAAACAGTGCATCTCAATAGCCAAATTGCAGTCTTGTTATGGTGACACATAATCTAGAAAAGCCAGCTACTGGCCTGCTTCCAGGATTGAGTATTGATCTAGGAAAGCATTGAAGGTCTGACACACCAGTTTTAGGTGTTTCTGGGAGCTTAAGTAGGTCCTTGCTGCTTCCCTATTTCCACCTCCCGGCAGTTTGGACTGGGCAGCTGTAACAGTGAAGATGCTGAGCAGAAGGAGAAACTGAAGGCAAGGATAGAGGAATGGTATTTTAAGCCACTGCAGGCACTGTTGTCTCTGAATATAAAGTCGTATCTGGAGGTTATAGCTATTTTTGTCAATGACAGCCACTAGAATTTTATTGCTGCTAAATATTCCATAAAACTAGTGATGAAATATTAAAGCAAAGAGGTTTTTAAGACACAGCTGGAAATCTTGTAACTGTGGCAGAAAGATCCCTAACCTCAATTTTATTTATTTTTAAGAATTTAGACCGTTCTGGATCAACTGCTGCCTCACCCACAAACCAAGAAGCGTCATCTACATCTTTGAACACTAATGCAGATGGAGTGAGGCATCGTAATCTTGCACAAGCACAAAGCAATCCCATACTAAGCCACCAGTTCCCTTATGTAATGCAAGGGTAAGTGAGATTGAAGCAATCCTCAGTTCTTTGATACTCTTTCAAGTATTATAAATGTTCAGTCACAATTACGTTTCTTTTACAGTATGCAGAATGATTTGACTAGTTCATATGGAAGCATAAGTCGCGTTAGAAACGTTTTTGTATGAACATTAATACTTTTAGCCAGGAGTCAATCAGAATTGAGTGTTCTTGGTGCTCCCCTTCAGGCTGCTTTCTGCCCTCAGCTTTCTCTTGATAAGTGCAGCTGTAATACTTATCTTGTGGACGTGTAGTTAGTAATGTAACTGATAAAATTACTGCTTCCGGTTGCCTTTTCGAGTACTTTATTGTAATCATCAACACTAAATTATTATCAAAATACAATGGTTCTTACTTTTTGACACAGAAGAGGTGTAACTCTTCACTTCTCCATAGTGGATTCAACTGTAGAAATGAACACGCAGGTGTTTTGAGTACATGTAAGTACTCGTATACATAAAACAGATTTGTAATGTATTTTCATATATACCACTGTAATGTTAACGAGTGTACATTTCCAGATCAGATCTTTTGTGTAACTTCAAAATCCTGGCTATTTTACTTACAAAGCAGCTTCAGGAACTTTTAATACCAGGCATTCTCCTAGTATTATATAGGTTCTAGAGTTCTTCTTTGGAGAACGTTGAAATAAACCAAACCTGTGAACCTGCTAACAGTGACGGTTCCTTCTGTTCCTTGAAGGAAAACAGATGTCAAGAACTGGTGAAAATCCACGTGCTTTCAGCTCAAGTTACACGCTCTCTTTTTAGAGTTAATCTAGACTTTACTGCTCTCACTCATTTTCGTCCTGAATTCTTTCGTTTTTATTTTTTATCTGAAAGATAAAAAGCTGGGCAGAAATTGGAGTAGTTACATTATTCTGACCGCATGCATCTGTCCAGAAGATACTTGCCTTTAGGACAAAGCTAGGTGACGCTAGGTTGGCTGTCAAGATTTCCGCTTGGTGTAATGTAAATCAATCCAGTTACTTCCAGAAGCACTTCATTGTGTAACCTGTAAGAAGTTTTAATGTTTTTCTAATTGGCTTCTCAGGTAAACATACTTTGAGAGTTGAGTGTTTTGTCAGTATGCAGTGAACTCGGTGGGCTACGGACTTTCAGTGAGGGATCAGAACCGTCATTGAGTCTTTTAGCTGAAATAATTCGGTTAAAAGAGTGGGAAGCATCAGTTTGGAAGACACAGCTGTGTTTGAGAGTAACTTTGCATTTTTCTATGCTTTTATGTCTGCATTAGCAAGTATGTGGATTGAGAGGAGTGGATCTGTAGACTGAAAGAGGTGCTGAGAACCAGCTGTCAACACGGCACATACGTCAGTGTTTTCTGTCTTACTTGGACTATTTCTAGTTTGGTCACCTGGAGTAGGCGCCTGTTTGTGGCTAAGGTGCATTAGCAGTGTACCTAAACTGCATCTTTCAGTTTAGTGTAATCCAAAAGGAATCCACTTGGTGATCCAAGAACGTTCTGTGGTGCAAACACAACTATAGTAAGAGGAAATGATTTGCTTCGGAAGTGTATTCCTGGGCAATGAAATGTAGCCTTGGTGTGATTTATACAGAGGCTGAGACTTGTTAGAAATAATGAATATTTGTAGCCAGAATTTTCATTGATTTGTGGATTTTTCTGACTGTTTTATGACCAAACCCTTTTATTCTAGCCATGTGATGAGCTACAGGCTCTACTGTAGGGAAAGGTCTCTAGACGTTTAAAAATGTGTGTGAGGGTCAGTTTTCTTGAGCATTTTGCAACATTTTCATTAGTCAGGTAATTTGTGCAAATAAGTAACGTATTAAATGATGTTGTTAATGGTTATTTCTGTTCCTGGCACAAAGCTTCATTGTGCTTGTTGAATATTCCTTGGGAAAATAGCTAATTCATGTTATTAAAATAGGAAGAAGAAGGCAATTTGAAACTTCTTGCTTTTGAGCTTTTGTAAGTGCTGTTTTCTAAAAGTCTAGATTTGAGGGCACTGGGCAAAAGTAGTTTATTTATCTGCCAAGTTAGTCTTTTGCTGTGGAGAGCAAGCGCAGCATTCTCTGCTCCCATGGGCTTAGTAGCTGTGCTGCACAGGTACAAACAGAACAGATAGGCTCGGTCCTGAGATGGCTTGCATTTCAGAGTGGAGAGTACTCGGAAGCAGTGAACAACACAAGAACCATCAAGACAGTGAAATTTTTTGTCACATGTTAGCAGTCCATTTGGTTTTTATACTGCTGCGTACGTCGTAATATGTGAAAGTGAACAGCAAAATGACACGCTGCCAGCATGTAGGATGTTCTAGCACAGAAATGCCTTGCTTCATTATCAGCCTTTGCTTGCTGTATTTTTTTCAAGTAGCAAATAACATAGTGGGGAATATTGAGATCGCACTTAAGTTGATATCCCAGGCTCGCATCAGATGTCTTTGTGGGTCAAGGTCATGAAACAAGTGCAGATGACAGAGATGGAGCTTCTAAGTCTGAATAGAAAGTCTTGTTTTTCCACTAATGGTGAGCAGTATCTTCATGATGACGCTAGCGAACTAGTCTGACCTTACCCTTAAATCAAATCCCAGTTAGCTCATTTTAGGTGTCTTCTAAAGACCAGAAGAAGTAATTGTGAGCTTTCTAGCTATTTAAGGAGTAGCACACCTCTTTCTTTTAAGAATATTCTGAAGCTGCCTCTACCACTGGAGCCTTGATTGTTTTCTGACCTAACTGTTCTTCTGCTCTCTGCTCTGCTCTGTTTGGAATGTTTGTGTCTATTCCATTTGCTTCCCTGCTCCGGTCCCTGTCTTTCGAAATACACTGCTTCCTGCCTCTTTCTCCTCCTTTGTAAAGAGATGAAAACATGTGCTAGCTACTTTACTTTTTTTCCTACCAGCAAGCCAGGTTGCTTTGCTGAGAGGGGCCTCTTCCTTTAGAGAGGTTGTTCTCACTGAAGTACATCACACTGTTTAGAGTTGTTCCCGTATTTCATAAGTAAACTTAATACCCTGGCAGCTGTAATAGCTGTATAATTGACAACATTTGCCTCATTCTGAATTTCTATGAGCAAACAAAATACTGCTGTGCTAGTTGGCATTCCAAGCCTGAAGCCAGTTCCTGGATATTGATGTTTACTTTTTCCTCACTGATAGAGTCAGACTTTGAAAAGTTTAGTCTTGCTTCTCAAAAAGTCCCATCTCCTGCAAAAACTATTGGGGAAAAAAAAAGAAAAGAGAAGAATTGTAATGGGAAAGGCAAGAACATGACATAACTGAAATCTTTTGTGGTTTGTCTTTCCTGACTGGTTTCTTAATCTACTGGTCAGCTTTAAGACATCAAGAAAGTGACTTTTGCAAAAGTTTGGAAGAAAGTAGAGGTTCAAGTCCTGTAAAAGACGTATCTGTGAGGGAGAGCTGTTAGCCCAAAGGCCTGTCATCGTCTGTTGAGCAGTATTAAACAACAGCCACTCTGAAATCCGTAACTGCTGAGAAAGAGTTGGTGAACACCTGCAGACCTCAGGCAAGTCGGGTAGCACTGCTGCTTGGTGACTGAGCTGGAGGAGTAAGTGTGCTGGAACACCTGAGTGGTCCTGCCTGTTTGCATCCCCACATTGAGGGATTGAAGTTGAGACCTTGCTCAGTGATTTGTTACAACATGGCATTTAATGACACGCATGTAGAACAGCTGAATCAACTGTACATTTTGAAGGTCAAATGTTTTATGAGGGATAGGGTTCTGTGGATTTTGGAGGAGCCTCATTTATCAGCGTTGGCCAGTTCAGGGTATAGAAAAACGCATTCTTATGTGCCATAAAGATAAAAGCATGATTGATGTTTTTCAGTGCCAGCTTGATAGCTTCGTTGTTCCATCACGTTAACCATGCATAAATAAGTAGCATCAGCAAGGCTGCAAGTTCACCCTTTCAGGTTTTGGAAGAAACCTAGAGTATTGCCTGTGACTGTCTCAGTTTGAATGCAGTATCAGGAGAGTAGCTTTTGCTTTTGGTGTTTTGTTTTTTTGTTGTTTTTTTTTTTTTCCCAGACCGTTGTCAAAACAGGTTATGACTAAACACAAACATACCAAACAGTTCTAGGGAGACTTGTCCGGAATCAGAGTGAAATACTTACTCATGTGTAACATGGAAAAGATTTTAATGTCTACCTCCCATCTTTCTTTCTGGGCATGTCTTGTATATCTGAGTGCCTGGTAGACTAACGAAATCTCTTGGTGATATCTTTGCAGGGAGTGCTTTACTTAGGGAAAGGTGTAGTCTGCAGTGCTATTACAGCAGTCTCAGCTTTTGCTGCCTGCAGTGTGAATAAGGTTTTCTTCATGCTTTATACTCTCATGCTGTCCTGAAAGATGTCCTGGTTTGCTACAGTTCCCTACATCCAAATCTTTGGGGAAAGAGTTGGAAATCTTGCCAAAACATGCTATATGCTCTAGGAGGTAAGAGAGGCTATGAAGTTTAAAAGCAGACGTAAACAAGCCTAAAACTTAAGTATAGGAGCTTTGCATTTCTTGCATGTGAAAGAGTTAAAAGCCCGTAGAGAGGAGAATCACTTAAAATATTGAAAAGGGGGGAGAAGGGGAAGTAAATAATTTATGGTGTTAGTTGTAATCTTCAGAAGCTGTGTCTGAAAGATTAGTTTTTCTTTGCTCATGCTGATTTCTTGGTGTCTTTGTTCACAGTGATATGCTGCTTGAATTGTGTTTTAGTATCGGTGCATTTTATAATGTTCCAAGTTAGAAATTAATGTTTTTCTTTAAATCCTTTCCTAGCAATATAGGTAACCAATTTCCAGGCCAAAGTGTTCCTGCTGGATTTTCTGTATATCCTGCATTCAGTCCCTTACAGATGATCTGGTGGCAACAAATGTATGCACGTCAGTACTACATGCAATAGTAAGTCAGCCTTATCTTAGGTAGCACCGAGTCACACTAGTGAAATAAAGGTATTAAAAACCTCAGTGTTCTTTGCAGAATCAAAATGTCTGTTTATTTGGTTTGGGTGTGCTACTTTACACTAAGTTTTGTCCAGCAAATCATGAAATCCAGTTTTGGACTGGAATTAATGTGTTGACAAGTAAAGATTTAAGGGAAAGCACAGTTTGTTTTTACATATATTACATCTGAAATGTTTTTATTGGTGTAGAAAAGAAGACAAAAATAGGCTTAACAGTTTTGATGCATGTTTTTTGACAGACCAGTTTTATGTTTCAATTCATAGCCAAGCTGCTGTTTCAGCCCAAGTGACTTCCAGCACTGAGCCAGTGAGATCTGCAGTTGCCCAGGCTGTAAATTCAGAACGTGCTCCTGCAAATGAGCCTGCAGCAGTGCCAAATATAGCCGTCCAGGACAACAGGCCTGTAAACCCAAATGTTCAGATGAATGCACAGGGTGGCCCAGTAGTGAATGAGGAGGATTTCAACCGGGACTGGCTGGACTGGATGTACACGTTCTCCAGAGCAGCAATTCTTCTGAGCATTGTATACTTCTATTCTTCCTTCAGTCGATTTGTCACGGTAATGGGAGCCATGCTGCTGGTTTATTTGTGAGTACAACAGTTGAGTCTAGCTGCAGATCTGAACGTGGAGTATGGTGTGCTAGTGTGTAAGTCATTTAAACTGAAAAGAAAATACTATTCAGATGCAGAAGTTTAGGCAGTGCTCCTTCACAGTATGGTGGGTGTGTGTATTCAAACAAGTAGAGAAGCTCATCTGAAAAAAGAAGTAATTCTCAAAACTTTTACAGTAAGTTGGATACCATTTATATCTGAAACACAGTGTTCTTAAATGTTGGTGATATTAAGGGATCAGTGCTGTAGAAATACAGAATTTGGGGAGGGAAGCTTAGAAAGTGGGGGTGAGAGGCAAGAAGTTCATATAGGTCAAGCATGTGCTTGCATAGACTTAAAACTTGTATTTGTGCTTGGATATGAAGGAAGCTTGCAGAGCAAAGCTCATTTATGTTTAAAACATAACATGGGTTATGTGTAGTAAATTGTGTTTGGAAGAGTTAAGGTAGTGCTGCTGTAACAGTGGGTACTAGACCTCATAGAATTGCAGGGACATTTCTTTACAATGCATAATAAAGACCTAAGGACACTCTTTGTTTTACTAAGAAATAGCAGTACTGTTGTCATTTCCCTTTATGTAGGGAAATACCTTGGTGATGTAAATAGAAGTGGAAAACAGCAGTAATATTTGATATTTCAGACCGATCTCATTCACTAAGAGTTTCTTTATATTGTAGTCTGTTAGTCCTCATAAGGACTGTTCTGTATCTCATGCATATAGAATAGTTGAGATCAGAATATGGACACTTGAAAATGTAGGGAGAGGCCTATTTAATTTACAGTGGTAATGTGGTTCAAGCCTTAGATGAAGCTTACATTTTTTTTTCCGCAGAAACACAACTTTAAAGATCAATTTTCAAAGGTAGCCTTAATTTTCATAGTAACATTAAGTGCTTATAAATGGGGAGGAGACCCAGTAAGAATATTCTACATATTTAATCACTTATTCATAGTGAATTATTCATCTTCCAGAACAGAGATGCATCTTCTGTGAACAGCACTTCTGAAACGTAAAAGCTAGCTCTTGGCAAGACCCTTCTTAATCCGGATATCAAAGAATAACCATTCAGTGTCTGAAATAAGAGTTGCAAAAAAACCCATAGAATCACAGACTGGTTTGGGTTGGAAGGGACCTGTTAAAGTTCCAGCTTTAGTTCCAACACCCTGCAGTGGGCAGGCGCAACTTCCACTATAGCAGGTTGTTCAAAGGCCTGTCCGACCTGCCCTTGAGCACTTGAACACATGTAGCCTCATTCATTTGAAAGTACTTGAAGAATGTACTGCAGTAGTTATCTGTAGCAAAAAAAAAAACCCACCTTTTTGTTCCTTTCAAAAGAGACCTTTTCAGCTGTTCTGTTTTCTTACATAGACACCAAGCTGGATGGTTCCCCTTTAGGCAAGAGGGAGGCCAGCACCAGGCAGCCAATAACATGGATGTGAATCATGATGGGCAACATGCAAATAATCCTGATCTTGAAGAGATGGTAAGAGCAGACATGTCTTCTGAGACTCCTATGTATTATATTGTAAAGTATGCTGTAATGCTTGGACAGAAGGTCAACTTATATGAAATGTAGTCAGTTTAACCGGAGAGGTTTCAGCTTGGTCCTCAGTGTTGTGTCTGCAGCTTAAATTCTGTATTTTTCTAGTTTGGCAATTACTGGTGATTTCTACTTCAATCACAAACTTTTCATGCTAGTTATTCTTCAGGAGGTTGTTCTGACAGAAGCTACTTAATGTGTGAAGATACTGTTGATGACCTTATGTCAGAGCTGCGAAAAGAAGCAAATGAATTGCTTCCATTTCCGTTTTTAAAGGAGCGACTTATGGATGATGGGATTGATGAAGACAGTGGAGAAGATGCAGGTGAAGATGCCAATACAGAGCAGCAGCCCGGATTCATGGCTTCTGCTTGGTCCTTTATCACAACCTTCTTCACTTCACTCATCCCTGAAGGGCCTCCACAAGTTGGCAATTAAAGAGGAAAAGGAACTTTGTCAGGCAGCCTCAGTAGCCACACATAGAAGTGGAGCAGATTCTAGAGAGCATTCTAAATACAGCGCAATTCCTGAACATTTACAATGTTACTTTTCTGATCCCAGTGTACAAAAATGTGTATGTGTTGTTTCCTTTCAGCTTTCTGATGCATCGATTATTTTAAGCACAAGTAGACTACTAAATGCTTTCTTTTAAGATTCTTCTTTTTCTGAAGAATAAAATGTAAAGATACTGGTCTTCCATGTTTTATTTAAATTTCAAATGTGTATTATACTGAGGCAAAAAGCTTGTACTTAATCTGCACCATTACCTCTTTAAAGAGCTGTTAAAAACATGAATGTCGATGGAACTTCCAAGTGCTCCCTATTCACCAGAATCATGTATCTTGTGACCTTGGGTTCATTTTATGCAGGGTGTGAATTCTCACCTGGGATTTTGAGTTGATATAATTCCTGGCAGAATGCTGTAAACACAGGGATTACTTGTTAATGATGTGTTGTCTTCATGTTGCAAAATACTAAGCCTCTTCTCTTACATTTAGAAAACTAAAAGCTTTCTCCTGAGGTTCTTCCGAAGTTCATTAAAGTTGGAGATGTCTGACAGCTCTTCAAAGACAATTGATAGTGATGGGATAAACCTTAAATGTTTGATACATACAGTACTTTTTAAGAAAAATATAGCTGCACAGGGGAAAAGAACATGTACATTAGGGTTTTTTAATAAAAACTGTCATGGTAATTCTTTTGGGCGTTTCTGTACATATTTGAATGCAAACGACTAAGTAGTGCATCATTAAGGATGAGCATATGATTGGTTTGAGAGGGGAATAAAGATATGGTGGCAATCCAATTTATGCCATTTTTAGCCATTTGTAACCCTTTCATGTCCAATTCTAACTGTTTTAAGCCATTTTTGGTCCATTTCAAAACCATTTTTCTTCATTTCTAACCAAATTTCTGCCACTTGAAGCACTTTTTGCCCAGCTATTTTTTCTGTTTCTAAGCCATTTTCCCCCATTTCTAACCTATTTTAAGCCGGTTTTGTCCATTTCTAAACAATTTATGGCCTTTCTATCCCATTTTTGCCCATTTTTTACCAGTTTAAGCCATTCTTGGTTTATCCCGGCCCCTCTCCCGGTCTGTTTCACCACCGATTGGAGAATCGCCTTTTCCATTGACTGGAGCGCCCGTCAATCACTCTTAGACCAGTCTCTTTTCCGTTCTGTTATGCCACCGCCCCCCACAGCCGCCATTGGCTTAAGCACTCGTCAATCACCCTCATCCCCGCCCCTTTACCGGTGTGCTTTGCCACCGCCCCCCACGGTCGCCATTGGCGAGAGAGCCAGTCCGTCACTCTTAGTCCCGCCCTTTTTCCGGCCTGTTATGGCACCACCCCCCCGTTGCCGCCATTGGCTGGGGCGCCCGTCAATCACTCGTAGCCCGGCCCTCCCGCAGCTCTGATTGGTTCGTCGCCACAAGCGCAGCCTCTTTTCTCCACCCCGTGCCGTACCGAACACTGGTCACGTGATCGCAGCACCGAGCGTCTGCCGGCGCCGTTCCTCCGCTTCCCCACGCGCAGTGCCGCGGTTTGCACACACGGTAGCACCGGAACGCGGCCCCCAGCCGCTTTCCTCCCATCACCGCTCGCTTCGGTGCTCAATTTTCGACAGGGAAGGGGAGCAGCGGGCGGTGCCCGGGGCCGCAGCGCGGCCCCCCCCTCCCATCAGTACCGGGATTTCGACACTAGATGGCAGCAGCGAGCAGCGCCCGGAGCCGCTGCCTCCCCCCCACGCTCTACACCTGCAGTACCGCGGTTTGGACACACGGTGGCAGCACACGCTCACCGTTTCGCTGCCGCAGAGGCAGCGGGCTCCGAAACCGCTGCTCCCCGCCCGGTTTCCCTCCTCCGGGGAGCGGTTTCGTGGTCCTGCGAACCCAGCAGCGTTTCTCCCGCAGGCATCACCTGCGCACACGGAGCTCCTGCCCTCGCTTGGCCGCCTAGAACTCCGTCCGCGCACGGCCTCTCCGGTGCCCGCTCCCCAGCACCCGGGGCTGGGGATGCGCTCCTGGAGAGAGCGCACTGGGGACTGCCCTATTGAAGAGCCCTTTTCTCCCAGGGATGCCTTCCGCACCACAGACATGAGCCCAAAAGCAACGCCCGGCTCATCCCACCTCTTTTATCCCAGGTGCCGCTTTGCCCCGCCCCTGCCCCAGGGCATTGAGGGAGGGGCTGTGGGTGCTGCCTGGGGTATAAAGGCGCAGTGCGGCAGGGAGGACCTCATTCAGGTCGTGGGCTTCAGCGGGGTGAGTTCTCTGCGGTTTCCTTTGTGTTTTGTGGCGTCTGGGGTCTTGTGGTGCTTTGTGCTGCTGTGTTTTGGGTAACGCTGCAATGGGATCAGGTGTGTGAAGAGCTTCAGGAGGTGTCAAGGTTTCTCTGTGTGTGCATTAACGAGCATCTCTACAAGGCTTTTTTTTTGGAGGCGTTATATTTGTAGGAGGGGTTTAGGTTCCCTAAGGTCGGTTATTGGTCCGGTTTGCCATTTTTGTTATTGGGCTCTGAACGTTTCCTCTCCTGGAAGCAGAGTTTTGAGGTTGCTTTTTACCACTTGTGTGCTGCGTTGGGCTGTCAGCTGGAGTCGTTACTGTTAGGAGACCCAAAGCAGAGCAGTGGCAAGGAGGGGGAAGCAGGAATCATCCTGGCTGCTCGGCTATGGGAGCAGGGGCTGGACGCTGACGCGCTGGGCACCAAATGGTCCTTCTCAGCCTCGGGTTTGAGGCAGCTGCACAGGCATCGGCCGTTCTGTGTCGCAGCCAAAAGAGCGTGCTGGCTACCCCAGTGCTGCACGGGCAGTAAGCAAAGGGTTTGGAGGAAAATAGGGGGAAACAGAAAAGTCTAAAGCCATTTTTCAGCGTTTTGATGGGCTGACATTGTCAATTCCTGTTTGTTTTTCTTCAGCCTCGTCGCCGCTCTTGTCTGCGTGCGATCGTCCAGAGCCAGACCAGGGGAAATCCAGGGAGGACTGCTGGGATGCCTTCCGTCTTCTCCCTGCGAGCCAGGAACTCGATCGTCCGACGGTAAGCGATCTTTGTGTGCTTTTGCGCGTCGTACGCAACCTGTGAAATGGCTTTATTTCCGAGTTACCGTCCTGCATTACCCAGAAGCAACTGAGAAATTCGGGGTTAGCTCTGTATGTAGGTACAGATGAGGAATGTGAAGCGTGTCTCTCTGTGGAAAATATCTATGTTTAGATCAGAGTGAGATCTGTCTGGAGAAGATGTTGTGCCTTATGCTCCTGCTGAAGTCAGTTTGGAAGAGATGCCAAGCAAGGATGGCTCTGTCTAAGTAACAAGCAGTATTTGTTTGGGCCCTTCTTGTTGTCTGGAAAGGCTTCTGAAGAAGCACACCGGCGTACTGGGAATCTGATGGGAGGTGTAAAGGGCTTTGCTTATGTTTACCGGGGCTTGAATGCTCGTGATGGAAGGAAAAGGAGGAAGAAATAGTCGTGTGGCTGCGTGAGCTGAAGCGAGCGAGATCGGTGCTTAGTACCTTTGAGTTCTTCCAGTCTGTTCTGAAGGCAGCGTGGTTGCTCCCCTTGGTTAAAAGGCGCTGGCCTGGGAAAAGCGTTTCTAAGTATTGGCTGGCAAGGCGGTGATTTGAAGCGTGGCCCCCATCTCCCTTCCCTTCCCTAGCAGTTAGATTAACCGTTTGCTTTGCCCAGCTTTGTCCTGGGTGATGTCCAGAGCGACGTCCAGGTTGTGACGGCAGATTGTCGCGTCGCTCTGGGTTTGATGCTGTACTTGTCTGGGGCTTCCTCTGGCCTAGTTCTAGCCGTTTGCGTCGCGCTGTTTCCACAGCACCCGCAGCGTAGTGAAAGGTGGAGGATTATGCTCTTTCCTAAACTGTTAAATGACTGACTTAGCGTTGGATTTTGGTGAGCGTGTCAGGATCGGAGACGCATCGTGAGGGAGGACTGGAATGTAATGGGAAGGTCTGTACCTCTGTGCTGTAGTCAAACTGCGGGATGAAAACGGGTGCGGTTTAGAACATAGGAATGAAGGGTTGCCCTGGGGAAGGAAATGAGCGCTTTCTTGTTCTCCCAACACCCTTCAAAAAGAGAAAAGAACTTAAAACCCCTTCAGATTCCTCCCAGAGCTTGAAATTTGACAACAATATCCAAACGCCGTAGTCAGTTTTGCTAAGATGCAAAGGAATAACCCAGTGGCGGGTGATGGAAATGAGTGATGTGCTGCGGTGTGGAGAGGGAGAATCAGCTGGGCTGGAGGCGTCTGTAACCCTGACGTGCGTCGGTGGAATGCGTGACTGTATCCCGTGGGCTGTGGGAGCCCCCAAGAGCGTTTCCCTTGAAATGGGAGCAATTTGATCTTTATGAGGAAAGAGCAAACTGTAAATGAGCCTTCCTGGCAGAGCGAGGGGGCCGCCGTCCCGGGGGGAGACGCGTGGCGACTGAGGTCGTTGAAGCAAAGGGTGTAAGTTGAGTTTTCTCAGTGGGTGGGAGCCCCTCTTGTGGTGGAAAGCGTTAATATGGGAAGGCAAAAAGGGGGTGGCAGAACTTGGGGGTGAGGAGCTGACCCGGGGCGGAGGAGCAGGGTCGTTTCGTAGCCGTTGCAGCTGTCTGCTTTGTTGGAAGGCAATGACCCCCTTTAGGTGAGCAGAGACTTCAGCGGGGCGTGGTTTAGAAGGGTATGAAAGACGATCGAGTGCCACCGCAGTAGCTAGCGTCCGGGATGCTGCCCGCCTTCAATCTGAGCTGGTCTTTACTCACTCAGTTCGCTCTGGGGCTTTGCATTTGCAGCACAGTGGTGTTCTGCATGAGGATCCTCCTTGTTTTGGCAAGAGTCTCTTATTAGGGGTGTTTAAAATCTCAGCACTCGATTTCCTCTCCCTAGTCTTTCAGCGTGGGAAGCGTAGAAGAGATTTCAAAGGCTCCCACTGGCTGACGATTTAGGGGGCTCCGGACCCCCCGAGTGCCCTGGGCAGAGGGGAGGTACGCAGGTGGGGTTTTAGGTGGCAGGGCGAGGGCGGATTGCCACGTAGTGCCTTAGCAGGGTTACATCCTCCCCTGGGTCTAACGCCGCATTTTGGCTTTAATTGCGGGCTCCTTCCACCTCACGGGACGTTTGCTTTTGCAGTCACTGCGAGTTATTTCCTCCTGTTAATGGCAGTTTCCATTGCTGTGCCATTTTTGTAGATGTGCGAGGCTGCGTGACCGCTCGAAGCAGACCGGTGTGCTGGAATAGCCCGGAGGACGGGCTCTCTCTCGTGCTCTAGCACAGGAAGAGCCGTGGGAAGCCTGAAGAAATTTGGGATTAGAGCTCGGAGGAAAGGTTCCTTCCCGGCAGCTCTTCCGCAGCAGAAAAAAGGCCACTTTTGTCAAGAGACCCCGAGGCGTGACCCATCCGTGCAGCCCTAAGGAAAAGGGGGGAAGGCGCACGGGAGCAAAAGCTTCAGAATTATCCCCCCCGCCCTCCCTCTGCCCGTTAACCAGCAACGTGGAAACCTATGGAATGTGAGCATCTGGGGTGCAAAGTAATAAAAAGGTGAATAAAGTGAAATGATTTTCTGGCTGGCAGCTGGTTTCTTGGCATCGGTTTCATTTGCGGGTGTCGGAACTGGGATGGGGGGGGAATAACGTATAATTATGGATATTATACTGGTACTGGTATAACGGACTGGTATAATGACAGTAAGGCAGGCAAAGGTGGAGCAGTTAGATGGAATTGATTGCAGCAGCGTAGGCTGGATGTGGAAGCAACACCGTGATCAAGAGAGTGCCTGAGAGAGTGGGGTGACTGCCTGAGGTGCCAGGTCCGTGCAACCCCAAATGGACCCCTTTGCGTTAAGCGAGCCCCAAATTACTCCTCACTCGCCGTACCCCGTGTGCGAACCCGTCGCAATCCCCTCGAAGCGGAGCAGCTCTGGTTGGGGTGGTGGCAGGGCACAGAGCAACCCCCCGTTAGAGCAATCTCCTAGCACAGCAATGAGCACCGGGCACGGAGGGCTCTTAGCCGATGCCACGGCTGAACTTGGTGCTTCCCTTGACGTTGGCGCTTGAGGAGCTGGTTCGTTGGTCACGGCAGGGCGCTGCCCGGTGAGGCTTTACACAGGTGGAGTTTTAGGTGGATAAGCAAGGGTGGATTGCCACGTGGATGGCGCTGTTCCGGAGGGCACCCTGTGTAGGATGCGCCCAGATACTTGTTCCTGTCCTTACGCGTTAGGTTTAGGTACCGGGTTTGGACCTTCACACTCAGGGAGCCGGTTGATGGGGCATCTGCCCCGCAAGGTCATACGGAGATGGAGTTTTAGGTGGGTCAACGAGGGTGGATTGCCGTGTGGGTGGCAGTGTTGCGGAGGGCACCGCGTGTAGCTGATGGGCAGCCCCAGCTTTCTGAACCTGAAGCCTTAGGCTTAGCCGTGAGGGCTTGGACGTTTGCATTTAGGGAGCTGGTTGGTGGGTCGGCGGAGAGGGCTGTCCAGGGAGGCTTTACACGGAGGTCGTTTCAGGTGCGTCAGTAAGTGAGGACACCCGTATCGGTGGGAATGTTCCAGAGGGTAATTTGTCGGAAACACGCAGCTCCCGTTTCTGTCCTAACGCATTAGGCTTAGGAGGAGAGTCGGGACATTGACAGAATCATAGAATAGTTTGGGTTGGAAGGGACCTTAAGACCATCCGCTTCCAGCCCTCCTGCCATAGGCAGGGACACCTCCCACTAAACCGTGCCACCCGAGGCTACGTCCAGCCCGGCCTTGAACGCCGCCAGGGATGGAGCACTCGCAGCCTCCCTGGGCCACCCATTCCAGTGCCTCTGCACCCTCACAGGAAAGAATTTCCTCCCTATACCCAATCTAAACTTCCCCTGTTTCAGTTTTAACGCGTTACCCCTTGTCCTGTGGTTACAGTCCCTAAACGAAGAGTCCCTCCCCAGCATCCCTACAGGGCCCCTTCACACACTGCAAGGCTGTTCTGAGGTGTCCCCGCAGCCTTCTCTTCTCCAGGCTGAGCGGCCCAACTTTCTCAGCCCGTCTCCATGCGGGAGGTGCTCCAGTCCCCTGAGCATCCTCTTGGCCTCCTCTGGACTTGTTCCAAATCTGCGTTTAGGGAGCTGGATTGTGAATCAGCGGCGGGTGCTTTCCAGTGAGGCTTTACCCAGAGGTAGTTTTAGGTGTTTAAGTGAGGATATCCCTGTCGGTGGCACCGTTCTGGAGGGCGCCCTGTGCATAACCTGACCAGCTATTGGCTTTTGTCCTAACACGCTAGGTTTAGGCACAGTGTCCGGACATTCACCCTTAAGGAGCTGGTTCATGGGGTGTCTGAGAGCGCTGCTCTGCAGGGTCATGCACAGATAGGAGTTTTACGTGGCTAAGCAAGGGTGGATTGCCGTGTCGGTGGCGCTGTCGCAGCGAGCACCGTGTGTAGCTGATGGCCAGCGCCGGGTTTCTGTCCTAACGCCACAGGCCTAGCGTCGGGGTTTGGACGTTTGCATTTAGGGAGCTGGTTTGCGGGTCAGCGGGGAGGGCTGTCCAGGGAGGCTTTACAGAGGTGGAGCTTGAGGTGTGTAAGCAAGTGAGGATATCCCTGTTGTTGGCATCATTCCGGAGGGCACCCTGTGCTGAACCTGACCAGCTCCATGTGTTTGTCCTAACACATTAGGTTTAGGCACAGGGGCTTAGGTGTGTCAGTAAGCGAGGATATCCGCATCGGTGGCACCGTTCCGGAGGGCACCCTGTGTGGAACCTGACCAGCACCGTGTGTTTGTGCACACGCATTATGTTAAAGTGGAGATTCTGGAGCTTCTCACTTACGGTTCTGGTTTATGGAGCATCTGTGAGTGCTAGCTTGCGAGGTCATACACAGACAGGAGTTTTACGTGGCTAAGCAAGGGTGGATTGCCGTGTCGGTGGCACTGTCGCAGCGAGCAGCACGTGTAGCTGATGGCCAGCGCCAGGTTTCTGTCCTAACGCCTCAGGCTTAGGAGCAGGATTTGGACGTTTGCATTTAGGGAGCTGGTTTGTGGGTCAGCGGGGAGGGCTGTCCAGGGAGGCTTTACAGAGGTGGAGCTTGAGGTGTGTAAGCAAGTGAGGATATCCCTGTTGTTGGCATCATTCCGGAGGGCACCCTGTGCTGAACCTGACCAGCTCCATGTGTTTGTCCTAACACATTAGGTTTAGGCACAGGGGCTTAGGTGTGTCAGTAAGCGAGGATATCCGCATCGGTGGCACCGTTCCGGAGGGCACCCTGTGTGGAACCTGACCAGCACCGTGTGTTTGTGCACACGCATTATGTTAAAGTGGAGATTCTGGAGCTTCTCACTTACGGTTCTGGTTTATGGAGCATCTGTGAGTGCTAGCTTGCGAGGTCATACACAGACAGGAGTTTTACGTGGCTAAGCAAGGGTGGATTGCCGTGTCGGTGGCACTGTCGCAGCGAGCAGCACGTGTAGCTGATGGCCAGCGCCAGGTTTCTGTCCTAACGCCTCAGGCTTAGGAGCAGGATTTGGGCGTTTGCATTTAGGGAGCTGGTTTGCGGGTCAGCGGGGAGGGCTGTCCAGGGAGGCTTTACAGAGGTGGAGGTTTAGGTGTGTAAGCAAGTGAGGATATCCGTATCGGTGGGACTGTCGTGGAGGGGAGCATGTGTAGGAAATGCCCAGCTATTCGTTCTGGGCTTTACACTTTAGGCTTGGGAGCGGCTACTGGACATACCCACTTAGGGAGCTGGTTTGTGTTTCACCAGAGACTGCTGTCCAGTGAGGCTTTACACAGGTGGTGCTTTAGGTGTGTAAGCAAGTGAGGATATCCCTATCGGTGGCAGTGTTCTGGAGGGCGCCCCGTGTAGAACCTGACCAGCACCGTGTGTTTGTGCGCACACATTATGTTTCAGTAGGGAGTCTGGAGCTTCTCACTTACGGTTCTGGTTTATGGAGCATCTGTGAGTGCTAGCTTGCGAGGTCATACACAGATAGGAGTTTTACGTGGCTAAGCAAGGGTGGATTGCTGTGTCGGTGGCGCTGTCGCAGCGAGCACCGTGTGTAGCTGATGGCCAGCGCCGGGTTTCTGTCCTAACGCCACAGGCCTAGCGTCGGGGTTTGGACGTTTGCATTTAGGGAGCTGGTTTGTGGGTCAGCGGGGAGGGCTGTCCAGGGAGGCTTTACAGAGGTGGAGCTTGAGGTGTGTAAGTAAGTGAGGATATCCGTACCGGTGGGACTGTTCCGGAGGGCACCCTGTGTGGGAAATGCCCGGCTCCTGATTTCTGTCCTGTCCCTTGAGGCTGAGGAGCAAGGTCCCGATGTTTGCATTTAGGGGGCTGCTTTGGGGGTCAGCGGAGAGTGCTGGGGAGTGGTTGGACTTGCTGAGGTTAAAGGTCTTTTCCAACCTGGTTGGTGCTATGGTTCTGTGCTTGTGCAGTAGTTATTACAGTGTTCTTATCCCAGCCTGTGGGTGTTGCACTC